CATTATGCCCTTCTTATTGTGTTCTTCCTTGGGGATTTCAACAGGGCGTAATTTCGACGACGACACACGTCAGATGTCGTCGTTATAAAACTAGCGACGCTGAACTCGTCGTTATAACAGCGAATAGGCAACCAACTACCAGTCCGAGGATACAACATGTGAGTAGATTTATACAGCACTATTTCGGGTTTATTGTGCCTTCATTCAGCCAATCCTACCCCCTCCCCCTGTCTACCAGCTGGACCTGGAAACACCAACTTCGGCCCTGGTAGTTGGTTGTCTGTTGGTGATATTTGCCGCTTGTTTTATTCGGAAAGTCAATCTATCAGTGTGCGCTTATTCATGCTTGAATGGATACATCTGTTCAATCGGTGAAATCAGCCCCAGTCCCCCAGAGAGTACAAGGGATGCATCTTGAATAACTTTACTCTCTTCTTTGTAACCCTCTATTACTTACACGTGCGTAAATTCAAGTATGGTAGCAAGTATGCTATACAGTTGGTCTGAATGTTGAGTTTCAAACTCTATATGCAAATTTTTAGTCTTCATTTTTTTTAATCACCTCGTTGATCTTTTTTTTCTTTTCCTGAGCAGGATCTGTATGAGGAACATGGTGATACCCTGGCTCTCCAATACGGTGGCAGTTGCTTGGTGCACAATATTGAAACCTACCAGAAGACCGGCAAGTTGCGCAGTCAGTCACGTGACCTCATGCAGACGCTTTCGCGGTACGTTCATGATTGGTTTAATGGTCTAATGCTTCTTTTTAATTTAACTGCATTACGCTTTTCGTGCAGTGGCTCACCATACCTGAAGTCAGTGATGCTCGGTTTCAGTTTGCAGGTATTCTATTGTTACTGCTGATGTTATTGCCGCTACCAGCTCTAATGATGAGGATTGAGACTAGATAGTTCCTTTTCATTTTACTGGTTCTGTCTCATTAATTGATATCCCGGTATCTGTAGCGTACCAAGTGCATCAGCTCTTTATGATAAATCTCAACTTTAAAAACAGTGAGTTATTGACCAGTAAAGTAGCCAGCCGACAATACTCTGTTTGTGAGAGATAGGGCGGTTACGCCGGACGGCATGGCAGATCCTCTGGACCAGCACAGAAGGTAGATCAAGGCACTGCAAGCATTATTCAAGTTACACTCCCATAACAAAGGCCGAGCATAGGGGAGGGGTGGGGAGCGTTAGTAGCACGTTTAGTTGCAGACTCAGGCACCAGTCAGGTCAAGTTTATAGCAGGAAATATAGGCAAACGCCTTTGAACTCCCTATTGGCACATAGTATTTAAGAAATGCATCGGCCCAGCCGAATATTTCAAAGAATTCGTTGACACAATTGTAGGCGACTACTCGCTTGTTTCAAATAATACATTCACATGTGGTGATGTCAGTTAATATGAGCCAGCAGTGTAACTGAGCAAGAAGGGCAGACAGTGAAAAAACTCACAAGGCGTGTCTCGTAATTCAAAATGGAACGTTATTTGTGGTTTTAAAGAGGAAAAACTGTCGGTCATGGGGGAAAGTATGTGAAAGATATGACCAGGATGCTGCTGTGAATGTTAGCGGCAACCATAGAGTCCGTGGAAACTAATATCTACATCCGAAGCACTATACGAGGAGACCTCAGAGTCACGAGAACGTCCCCAAGAACCGGAGATGCGACCATGGTACGCCCTTGCTGTGACAACAGCAGAGGAACCTGCCATGTCGTCAGCAATCGGCTTTTAGGTCTATACGAGAAAGAGCGTGACAGGGCCGCGTAGCCTAGGACCATAGGTGCGGTA